GGGTAACAATTCTTATATTCCTTGCAACCCAACATTTAGCATATTAGGAGATACAAGAGCTAGTACCCTGACTGTTAATTTGTTGACAGTACATATAATATATAGCAGACAATGAACTACCAAAGATCTCAGCCTGGAAGATGGGCCAGAGCCACAGCTGGCATAAGTAAGCAGAGCTACATTAGATGTATAGGGTCCGATTCTCATTTATATTAGGGTCCCCACTTTACACCAATCTGGCATTGTAAAGGGGCTTTATGTGGGTGGAAAGCAGACAGAGGGTAAATGCGAATCAAGTCTATTCATGCTTATAATCTATAGACCAAACAGTCCAGTCCTTAGGCAAAACTCTCATTGGGGTTAATAGAAGTTTTGCCTGTTTTAGGCCTGAAGGCTTGGTCCCAATCAATACAGAAGTCACTTTAACCACCACTGAAGTGCAACCACTTTTTGGAGAGAAACATTTATCAGTGCTCCCACCTCTGGAGAAAAGAGTGTGGTCACCAAGGTCGAGAGCACAGAGTTTAACAATGTTCAGCAATGCCATACCATAGTTCAGACAGACAGTAAAGGGACTTGCATCCAGTTGAAACTATAATGGGAATTTGTGAATAAATCTATCCAGGACACTGCAGCTAACACCTGTGTTCTTGAAAAAAGAACCATGGGATCTTTAATGAGCACAAATAGAGCAACTGAGTCTATTTTTTGTTAGAAGTTATTTAGTCATTCTGTGTCTGAAGCAACGTAGTTATTTTGCTTCCATTGTAGACCCCAGTCCCCCAAACATTTACACACATTAGTATCTTTACGCACCTGAGTAGCCCCATTGACTTTATAGTATTGTGTAACTCTTGCTGGTAAATGTTTGTAGGACTGATTTTGCCAACCATCTCCCCCAAATAAATACCTCCAAAGTGCTCAACCCAACCTTCAATTTTCCACCAAAGCTGCAAATTCTGCAAAGCTGGGGAATCTCTCAAAACCTTGTCTTTCTGCACTTGTCAGGTGGATGGGGCTACAAGGGGGAGAAATTCAGATCACTGAACCTGACAAAAATGTAATCTGGTTGTTTGTGTAAATTTACAAAACACTTTGGTTCAAATGAGGGAGGTCTGGCCCTCAATGGATTATTCAGCTAGGCTTGGAATTTCAGCCGGGATTTCTAATGGTCACATGAACTTTCCGTACGTTTCATACAAAAGCAAAACCAAAAGCGCATCTGCAGTTTCGTAGTTGCTTCCCAGCGCTCTTTATAGGGATTTCACAATGCTTAATTTCACACTGCATAACAGAGTGCTTAACTCCATACCCATTAACATTGGATGAGTGCCCAAATTACTTAGTGGTCAAGCAAAGAGGCTTTTCTAGTGGGAGTTCATGAGTCAAACCTATGACTTTGAAAGCAGTCTAACAGTGAAGTTTCTGAAAGCTTGGCTATCTGCCCAGGGCAGTGGCAAAAAAGTTACTGCTAAAGAATTTTGACTGTAGGAATAAAAGCTCATTTTTGCCTTTGAACCCATAAAATAGATTGGATTGTATAGTTCCCTCTGACCTAGACTGGCCCATTATAAAATCAGAAACTTACAAAATTATATAGCAATGACAATGCAGGTGTTCTTCCATTAGTCTTGTAATAACCCTTAAAAAGAGCTTTTAGCATAATCCCAAAAGCCCTCCCCGTGTGTGATGACTTACTCACAAATAATACCTCTGACCAGGTGATTTCTCATCTTCTCAGTATATAATTTCATTATCTTTGTGACTGACAGACCATATGGAGGGATGGAATGGCAAATTAATCTGCATAGGCGAGCTCCCTTTCATTCTTCTTTTTCTAAAATCTAAGTTCCATTTCTATAAAATAAAATAAAAACACCTTTGTGTTAAATAGGGAGCAGAGGATAATGAGTCCTTCCACATTTCAGTGGCATCCAATCCTTTTTTAAATTACTTGGGAGGCAAGCCACCCGGACATTGCTTGTTGAAGCAATTAACAAATTACTAGAGAGAGATGCAAGATGCAACATTTAGATCCAGATCTGTAAAAGCATCAAAGTTTGGATCTCAGGTTTTGATTTTGGCCTGTCTTTGCATTTTACAGTCCTAAATGTAAGAACTTTAAATGAATACAAGAAGTAAAATCCTGGCTCCATTTAAGTCAGTAGTAAAACTCCTGTTGACTTTAGTAGAGCCAGGAGCTTGTCTGCTGAAGTTTTCCTCTTGATATTTTTAAAGCCTACTATGTCTGCTGATTGGAAACCAATTTAGCAGAATTTCTTCCTTCTCCCCAAACCTATATCCATTTGAGTACCAAATCAGAAATGCCTTGTTCACGTCCAAAATCCTCTTCACTTTTCATTTTTTTATATTTACTTATATTATGATTTATAAAATAATAATATCAAAGAGCTTCAAAATACTCATTGACAGTGTCTTCTTAAATGGAATCCTATCACAAAATAAGTCCAGTTTCTTCCCCAGAGTCATCTCTTTAGACAAAGCCTGATGCAAAGAGATGGTTCTTACTTATTTTAGTGTGGTGATCTGGTCACCCTAACTATATAGGTAACTTTACATGTGTGATTAAAGTATCCTATATGCCTAAGTGTGGCAGGACTGGCCTCTGGGTTTGGAATAGTCATAAAAGTTTCAGATAAACATGCAAACTTTTGGGGTGGTTATGCTGAAACATTTTGAGTTCTCCCAACACTAAGCGATACATGATTTCCACTGCTGACCTTTAGTAAATGAATTGCTCATTTAGAGATAATTGTTCTGCACTTATCATTAATTTTGTAGCATAACCTCCCCCCGCCACCCCCACCATTTTTTTCAGTGAAAAGTTTCTTGGCAAATTATTTTCGTTACAAGGTGGCAATGAACAAGGGGGGGAACTTACATCCATTTTAAAACATACACATCATGCTGTTTTTGTAAGTGCTAAAATTTATTACACAAGAGATGATGCAACAGCTAATAAGAGAGCGAAGTTCTACAATGACTCCGTACTGTGCAATTCAGGACAACTGAAAGATTTCACTTCATTAAGGACAGCGAGGGTGAAAAAATGAGAGAGATGCCAATGAATGAGGGAGTCTTGTCAAGCATGATTGAACAATGATGTTCATTGCTGTAGAAGGAACAATGAAATACATCTGCTTCTGTTCAATAAATTACTAAAACATCAGCTATAAACCTATTGCATGGCACTGAAAATGAAACTCATTAAACATCAAGGTAGCTTCATCCTGACCCGAATGGAAGACAGGCACGAGTGTTCTGCAGCAAACAACTCTGTGTACATCCAGTCTTTGGGAATGATATTTACACGTACATCTCATATATTAATATATTTTAACTCACCCTGACCAGAGGGCAACCAGAAAAATTATTATTCTGTGAGAAAGACAAAGAAAAGAGGCTCCCTCCTCCCCACAACAGACCCAGTTTGATGTGAAATGAATTCTTTTAACGTCCATGTAAACACTTGGATGTCACTATTCCCCCTTCTCAATTACCCTGACACTGGGACCCAAACTCAATATCCGGGGGTCACCTATGATGGCTGAATAAATTGGGTAGTGAATATTCTTGTGGTTCAAAATTGAGAATATGACGGTGCCTCCTTCATTGTGTTGTTGTAATTAGCCTTGATGGCTGTCAGGGCAGGAACTTGTGCCAAATCAGCATTGAAACAAACTACATTCGTTTCTCTGTTTACCTGACTCCCCTGACTTAGCCAAAGCTCATGAAGACTCACAGAGGCCAGGATTGTGGTAAGCAGGCCATAATGACAGAGATACACCAGCCATGGTACAATTAATGGGCTCAAACACCTACCACGGGGAGTAGGACTAAAACACTACAAAGTTGAGGGTTTTTTATTATTATTTTGTCTTCATTTGTCACAAGTGTATTTTTAAAATTAATCCCACTACTTCACTCAGAGGATTGCCTTGGTAGGATCTTCTCTCCTCTTACTTGTTCTTGGCATGACCTGCAAACTAGCATAATTATCCTCACTTTTAAAAGAACAGAACAGCAATAGGATAAAGAAGAATTGCAGGAGAGTCAATTCTGGTGCTGTCACTACAGTGTGGAGGAAAGCCAGTCAGCTACTCAGCATGCTGTTGGTTGGTCAACATCTTGCTGTTCAGCTTATTGGCTACCCATTGGGCAAGGAAACTTCCATTGGCGTCCTCACTAAGAGCACACTGGAATGGTCCTGCAATGGGGCAGTCATTTGACATCGGCGTGAAGGAGCAGCAATCACTTTGGGGGGAAAACTGGAAGGTGTATTTAGGGGAGAACACATTCAGAAGGGCGGTGGTGGGATTTCGCTGCCATTTGGCAAAGGCGTGGGAAAAGGAGATCCATTCTGCATGAGGTGGGTTAGTGCAACTGTTAGAAGGTGGAAGGTACGGGAGATAACTACTTTAAACAGCCTTATGGACTGAAGCAGGGTTTTGCTATTGCTGGAGAAGGCGTGCGTGTTAAGTGGAGGGGGAAGCAACAGAAGATCATATTTTTTTTATTTCAACTGATTTAGTTTAATGAAGGAATTGGCATGAGATAAGAATACAAGAATGGCCATACTGAGTCAGACCAATGGTCCATCTAGCCCAGTATTCTGTCTTCCAACAGTGGCCGGTGCCAGGTGCTTCAGAGGGAATGAACAGAATAGGGCAATTATCAAGTAATCCATCCCCCGTCATCCAGTCCCAGCTTCTTGCAAACAGAATTTAGGGACACTCAGAGCACGGGGTTACATCTCTGCCCTCTTGGCTACCAGCCATTGTTGGACCTATCCTCCAGGAACTTATTTAATTCTTATTTGAACCCACTTATACTTTTGGCCTTCACAACATTCCCCAGCAATGAGTTCCTCAGGTTGACTGCACTGTGTGAAAAAGTACTTCCTTATGTTTGTTTTAAACGTGCTGCTAATTAATTTCATTGGGTGACCCCCTGGTTCTTGTGTTATGCGAAGGGGTAAATAACACCTCCTTAGTCACTTTCTCCACATCATTTATGATTTTGTAGACCTCTATCATCTCCTCCCTTAGTTGTCTCTCTGCTAAGCTGAGCAGTCCCAGTCTTTTTAATCTCTCCTCATATGCAAGCTGTGCTATACCCCTTATATTTTGTTGCCCTTCTTGGTATCTTTTTCAATTCTAATATATCTTTTTTGAGATGGGGCGACCAGAACCGGACACAGTATTGAAGAAGTGGGTGCACCGTGGATTTCTATATTGGCATTGTGATATTTACTGTCTGATTATCTATCCCTTCCTTAACGGTTCCTGACCTCCTGTTGGCTGTTTTGACTGCCCCAGTACATTGCACCGATGTTTTCAGAGAACTATCCATGATGATGCCAAAATTTCTTTCTTGAGTTGTAACAGCTAATTGAGGCCCCATCATTTTGTATGTATAGTTGGTATCCTGCTGTTGGGAGAGGGAAATCAAGGGACTATTTGGAGATGCCTTTGAGATCTGTCACTTTAAAGCATGCTTGTCCCAGGTTGAAGAAGAAGGTGGGTGAGAGAAAGGGAGAGAGGAGACATTTAAAAACACCTAAGAACTTTAACTCCGCTCACTTTAGGCTTTCAAACTTGGCAATCTTTTTCTGTTTTATTCAGACAAATGCTCTTGCTTGACCAGTGGGTTTGTCCAAGGTCTCTTAACTCTGGTCCTGGTATAAACCTTGATGCCCCTTGCTAAGAGCTTCAAGTCATTTGTGAAAGCAGCACTTCCCTGTCAATAAACTGTCCATAAGACTGCACAGGCTTCATTCCAGCAGAAATAAGTGATACCTTGAGAGCTCTTGCTAGACGAAAATAACAGTTCTGACGCAATTTCACCCAGCTGGAATCAGCTGTGAGAGACTAATATACAATAAAAAAAACCCACGAATGCCCACTTCCCCCAAGGTCCTCTCCTGATACCGTGAATAAAGCTCTGTTTTTATATTTCTTTCTTTCCAAAGTTGTGAAAAGGATCCCGGTCTGATCGGTCCAAGTCACTTGTGTTGTGAGTGAAGTTCTTCAGACTGCTCTGGCCCTTACACCTTTACTTGATGAAGTTTTTAATTGTCCATCTTTGTCCCGTGCAGCTGCGAAGAATTAGATCAATGCCGGACATTCCTTTGTTCTCCACTTCCAGACAGCGCCCAGTCCCCTTATTCAGGATCGCACCATTCTAAAATCAAAGATACAGGTAAGTACCTTCTGTGTAGCCAACAGGTGACTGCATGCAATCGCTGGGACAGGGACTGTGTCTTCCTCGGGCCTGGTAAGTGCTTAGCACTTGGTGGGCGGGCATGAATGCAAACTAAGAAATAATATCCATTAAAATAATCCTTGAAATCCTTCAGCCCTAAATGCATATATCCCTGCCCCTTCAGCTAACTGAGAAATTCTGTAATCTGCAAGAAGCAGGGTCTTATCCTCTGTGTGAGGGAGACATGATCACCACATTTAGACAATATATTACATACCCCCGTCGTAGACAAAGGCAAGTTTCAGTCTCTGAGGTCTGCATGAGCCTATTCTGGGATGCCATTTTGTAACGAATCTATGGCTGCATGGATACATAACGCGAATATCGAATTCTGGACCTTATGCACCAGCAGTACAAGACTTAGAAAAAAGAAGAAACATCCTTAATCTCACCAACGTTATATTGTTCTTAGGCTGAGCAATTTCTGTGTGAGTAAAAGTAGCAAAGGGGGCACAAAAACACCTCCTCTCGCAGCATGTTGGCTAGTAGCCCCTACCTTTGCAGAAATGCTTCCTCCATGCTATAAACAAGAGAATATGTGAAACAGGCCATAGTTAAAGGGAAGAGAAGAAGCAGGCAAAAGCCCCATCCTCACAAACCTGTATGAAATTCCAGCGTTTATGGAGGCTGCTCTTGACCTTTTCACAATCAAGGAGCTGAGGGAGCCGGCTTTTCATGTTATCCACCAGGCAGCGGGTATCAGGCAACAGAGTCGTGGTCCCAAGGGCCCCCAAGTGAAGGTATCCCTCCTTGGTGTAGCGGGCAAGCTGAGGGGGTGGGGGAAAAAGACGGTTAGTACTTCTCGAGTGTGATTAGAGAAGAGATGCAGAGGGGACTGAGCTAGTGAGTACAGGAGATGGGAATGACATGCAAAAGCCTGTCTCCGGAGATTTCTAGCTCAGTTTTGCAGACGGATGCAGGTGGCAGGGGGGGGAGTTTGACACCTAAATACCTTTATGGCTCTGGGCTTTAATTACTAACAACCCCGTGGGGTGGGATCCTTTGGCCTTTATTTGGTGTTGATACTATGCTAGTCATGGTGGTTTTAGATTGCAACCAGCTGGCTATTTTGGGGCATGCTGGACCATTCTAGTGGTTCTGAGATGCTTAGCTGTGGGTTCTTCTTTTGACAACTAAATGCCATTGTCGGTGTGTCCAGAGCAGCCCTCCAGCTATTCTAGGCATAGGTAGAAAATAGCAGCCAGTAGGTAAGGATAGCCAAGTGAAGGATTTGATTTGTGATCACGTCCCTCATGAACTGATCCAATCTTAGATCCCCCATATTGTTCCCTATATGTGTATATAGCAACAGATGATATAAAAGCCTCTTGGTGTAACCATTTCCAAACACTGGAGTATCCATCAGTATCCTGCTAACGCATAACTGTATATCTCGCGCCTCCCATGCACCCTGAAAATTCTGTCTGTTCTGGAGGAAATGTTGAATGATAGCACCAGAGGAAGGCATCCGAGCTGTCTTGTCCTCAGCCATGGAAAGAATGAAGTCTTGCTACTGGGCAGAAATTAGCTATCGGAAGACGACTGCCCCCATCATGTCCCTTCGAGTTGTTGACTGTCCAATGATCTGCATAGTTGTTTAAGAAAGGGCTGATATATTTGCACTGTTTAAAAAAATATTTCCCTAGACGTATTTAAATTCACAGAGTGAAAAGAGAAGAATGACAGCAGCCTGCCTTTTATAATTCAGGGGAAAGATATACACAGCTGCTTATTTAAATTATGAATCACTCCATTATCCAGCAGACAAATGAGAAGTATTCAGCACATTAATTAACTGAATATATCTCTGACCCAGATGCTTAAAGAGAGGCAGTAAATCACACCGGGAGTTATGGTTATCTTGGCTGGAATAATTAAACATCCAAAATCAAGTTAAAAACAATGTAAAGGGGTTTGACTTGAACCAATAAAAGCAGATACTGATTATTAAGGTATTTGTTTCTAATTTCATCTTTACTTCACTATGTTGGTTTAGACATACAAGTGCATTGCTCTGGGTTGGCATGCATGACTGTGTCTCTCTCTAGTGACCATAACTGCATGCTGTAGTAGGATGAGGCCCTGAAACATAAACCCGTATCAGAGGCCCAGTATGAGGCCTGAGGCCTGAACTAAAGTAATGGTCAAGACTTTGCTAACATAAAGCAAAGTTAAGCTGTGAACCAGAGGCAGGCCCTGCTCACAGAAGCTGGCAAGGAAAGGGCTGATGCTGCAAAAAGAGACATACCTAAAAGGTACTGAACACCAGATATCAGAACATTTGCATACTTGTACATTCCACACACAATAAGGAACAAGCTGACCCATCCTAAAGACAGAGCCAAAAGGGTAATATGATGGATAGAGTTGTTTTGTTCGAACCAACATGTACAAGGTGAGAGGCGGCACCTTACTACATAGTGGGGTTGTACCTTACTACGTAGTGGGGTTGCACCTCAATACGTCAGGAGTGATGTGTAACTTGTTTGTACCTGTGTATAAGAATGCATCCCTGAGTAGATATCTTTGTCCAGCCTAGGGGACAGTGGAAAGTCCCGCCACTGACTGAGCTGAGTGCATTGTCAGGGAGCACATATGTACTAGCTAGCAGCACCTTAGACTTCTATGCCAGAGAAAGTTGGAGACTGTGTTTCTCTTCGATAATAAACCTGGCCGACGTGCCTTCATACCTTACTAGAGTCTGTGGTCATTGGGGGTTCTCTCGGGGTCTGCTGTGTCAGCTATCTGCGCAGAGCTGGGACAGCACACAGAGGGAACACACGCACGCAGCCGATTGATATCAACATTGAACAGAGCAGAGCACTACACCAGTAGCGTGCTATTTATTGACAGCTTCATCAACTCCTTCAGATCATTTGGCAGGGTTGTGGTACGTTTGGTGCTGAACTTCCCAGGTTCTCTCTCCAGGTGGGGCAAAGGGGGATGGATTCTGGCTAGAACTGGCTGAGGACAGGAGAGGGCTATGCAATGCCAAGCCGCCCCTGCTGTAGGGTTCCTTAAGAACATTATTCTAGTGGTGTAAATCTAAGCAAGACCTAAGCTACGGTAACTCACAGCAAAGGCCACTGTCCCCCAGCCATTCTGCCCACCACGCACTCCTTGCACTGAAGAAAGCTTTGATGCAGTAGGACACATGTAATATCATGATCAAACTTCCCCTGACTGTGCATTGACAAGTTCTTTTTCCCTGTGGTTTTCGCCAGAGCCTTCAGTTGTGTTAGGGTTGGGTCAGAACAGAAAGGAGTGCTTTCTAGCGGTTAATGCAGCACAATATAAATCAAGACTGCTGGGGTCTAATCCCAACTCTGCCACTGACCCACTGAACAGGCCCTGGGCAAGACACTTAATCTCTCTGTGCCTCAGGTTATTCATTTACAAAACAGGTATAATGCTCACCTGGCATCACAGGAGTTTAATTACTTAAACTCTGCAACGTGTGATGAGACTGTCTGGAAAGAGGGCTACCATAAGAACAGAGCATTAGAATTACTCTAAGAGCAAATCGAATATTGCAGAATGGTGAAATTCTGGATTATCTGTTTTTAATGGCACTGATGTTTTTATGTTTCAAATCCTCAGCAGTGAAATTCTTGACTGACAGCATGTGTTTTAGTAAAGCAACCAAACTGAATTAGTATTTGAACAGTAGCTCACAAATCTTTCAAGGACTAAATATCAAACTCCTTCCTTTAACACTGTGACTTTAAGAAATCCATCGACAAGCGCAAGCATGCAGTACAAGTATTTTTCTTTATGTGCTTTTAAAACCTTAGTGACCATGTATATAATTATTGTATTAAGCATCTTTCCTTTCATTATGTTTGGCAGCTTCTCTTTAGCCTGTTGGCCTACTGCCCACAAGGCAATAAAATTTCTGTGCTTAGATGTTATCTCCTAATGTGGTGGGAAAAGTAACTAGAGCAAAAATCAAATCAGGTCCTGAGAGGAAGGGGCAATGGGAAAATGAAATAATCTGAAGAACAAACACGGATCTTATGAGAAATCTATCACAGTGGATATAGTAGATGTTCAACCTACTTGGTATAACAGCCAGATAAATAAAGCCCAGAATGCATTTCTGGATCAACTTCAGCATATTGCAAACTATTTGATCTAGCTCACTGTCAACCAAAACAGAGCTTGCAATTGCTTTACTCTTCAGTTTTTTTCATCAGCTCAAGGTGGAGGACAGTTATTCCTGGAAAGCATCACTGCTTGAAAAGGCTGTTTTGGAGTGTTGACGTTGTGCACATGCCTTGATGAGTTAAATAAGTTTAAGGGTGTGATTTTCAAATAAGCTTAAGTGATTGAGGAGTACAAGTCCCCTTGTGTTCTGAATGAAGGATGAATGAAAGTTGTGATGTTTTGGTTCTAAAGTTACTGCCAACATTGTTGAAGTTGCGGCTTTGGTGCCCTCAGCTGAAGTAACATACTCTGCCTTCAGTGCAGAGGTGTGCAGGCCCCTCAGGGCAGAGGTACCGGGGGGACAAGTGTATGTGGGCAGATTGCAGGGGGATGCAGGACCTAAAATCTATTTTATAAGAGGGATAGCTCAGTGGTTTGACCCCTGGAGGCATTGTGGGGGACTGGCACCACCACGGCTCCCTTGTCCCAGCTCTGTGCTCTTCCCAGGCCCCATTCACCCACAGAAGTGGAAGGTGAAGGCCCTGTGGTCATGCAGGAGCTGGTGCTGCTCAGGGGGCCTGCAGAGAGGGACTATTCAAGGCCAGGACCACATGTAAGTGGCAGCAGAGCTTGCCCCAGAACCAGGGCGGCAAGTCCCACACGGAACCCTGGCCCCAACTTGCATGCAGAGCCTAGGCCTGACTCTCACAGGGAGCCTGGCCCCCTTCCCCAGCTCATCTGCCTCCACCACTGTTCTTCTCCCTACGCCCCCCTGCCCGCCCGCCGGGCTATGTGCACCAAGGTGGCCCAGCCCACATTTCAGCAAGTGAGAGTGCATAGAAGTCGTGGGGAGTGTTGGGCATCACACTTTCCACAGATCAAAATGGCAGGCTGTGAGATGTTACTTCTCACGGATGTACGCTACAGTGCTAACTTCTACAGAACATGTTGTTAGTATTCATGAATAGTCCTGCACTGGCAGGGACTGAACATGCTGCGGCCGAGTATGGACATCTCTAGGGATTGGGTAGAAGAAGAAGAGGAAGCAAAACCATAGGAATTACCATAACAGACCTCTATGGGTAGGTCTACACTGCATTATAGACCTGAGTGAGACCCAGGCTTGTGGAGTGGGTGTTTCCAAGCCAGTGTTTGAGCAGCTACACAGCACGGAAAGCCTGGGTTTCAAATTGCTGAACCTGGGTCTCTCAGTCATGTTCATGTGTCCCTACTGAAAACCCCCTCAGCAGGGTCTGAGAACGTAGGTCTTGAGTGCGTGCTGACCTGAGCGAGTCTGATCAGTGTGGACAGAAGGGGGGTTGGACTCAGACCTGAGGCTGGGCTTAGCATGCAGTACAGACATACTCTATCAGACCACTATGATGTGAGGATTTTTAGAAAGGGGGAGGGGAAGAGTAAGAGGGAAAAACAGGGGAAAGGGAAGGAATCCAAGAGGACCCCTTAAAAAAACCCAACAATCTAGTGACCACACCGTTAAAGGAAATTAATATGGAGTTACACAGTCTCAGGCTAACTGCTGACTTTGGGCAAGGTTGAACACGTCCACGTGTAGCCCCATAAGGGTTGCACAACCTAACCCCCAAATTAATAAGTGAGGTTG